AACAACTGCATGTGTCTGCATGTATCTGCATGTAACAACTGCATGTAACAACTGCATGTATCTGCATATAACAACTGCATGTATCTCGTTAGTGATATATTTACTACATTTCTTTGATTATAATGAAAAGGCTGAAATGCTAATGAATTTACTAATAAATTTAGGTTTCTAAGAGATGTGAGTCATCTCTTGAAAAGCTCAAAATCGGGATAGTGAAAAGTTGAGGAAATGGGAGCAGTTAGACAAAAAGAGTAGTTGAAATTTAGAATGAACAGTCGTGGGAATTAAATGAAGAGATATGAAGCGGTAATGATTCAGTCATGAAATGCATGCTCAGGTATAAAGCACCAAGGAATATTCAAATCAGTTAAAGAATGAAGAAGCTGAAAATGTTATCTAAATCTATGAGAGAGAGAGAGAGAGAAAGAGAGACAAAGAAAGGTAAGGAACAGGCAAAATTGGTTTCATAATTATACCTTGAGATGACACTTTCTTAGAGATGACTGGAATAGTAATCGACAGATATGACGGATGAAAGTAAAGACATGATGTTGAACCTTTTTTACAATACAAAAAAAAGTACGGAAAGTGCAAATAAAAGTTTGAGGTTTCAGGAGACGAACGACAAGATAACCTAAACATAATTTTCATTGCGAACCAAAGTGAAGAAAGAATGTCTGACAGATTAAATAAGAATGATTTAAGAAATTTGATGGTTATGATAAAAAGGAGTCATGGCAAAGACATACCAGGGAATTTAGACTTCACTGACTCTTCAGGCTTGGCCAGAATCATAAAGGAAAGTGGTATGACCCTCGCATTATTGCCACTAATAAGTATATAAATAAAATGAAACAAATCAACTTACTTGATAATGTTATACGTAACATTCCATCGGCCAGTTTCTTCATATTTTTCATCCCTTTCAATACGTGTCACTTCGTGTTTCAAATTAATGTGTTCTAACAAATGAAAATGATTAGCATAAGATCGAAAATATGCCAACAATTGTACGTGACTCATGAAATTAGGCATCTCAGGTAGTGGAACAAAATCGCTGAAAGCTGTCATCTCCTTTGATGTATTGATTGTTGTATGTTTCATCACCGTACCCTCGCCTGAACAATAAACAAATTCGATAAAAGTTGTAGAAATGATAAATTAAGAAAATAAGTGTAAAACTTGTTTCTATTAGTAGTTCTCCAAAAATGTCAATCAGTAAAGTGAAATAAATTATAAAGACAGGAGATTTGATAATTAAATCATACATCACGACAAACCTTTGTTTTAAAAAATTATTGCAGAGCAAAAGACTACTTCATTTCCACTCATTCAAAAGTCAACTTTGTTCAAAATTTTTTCTCGGACTCTCATAAGCTTACAAAACCAGTAATTAAAATATTGTTCGACCAATGATTTTTCTACGGAGAAATGCGAGAAAAGCTATTATCGTATCCAATGATCTTTTGCTTCAGTATCAATCATCCGCCATTTTTAGTTCCAACAATCGATTATTTCTTAATTTCTCGTTTTTCAAACTTATCTAAGCACCATTTTAATTTTTCATATTATATATATTATCCTTTTCCTTTTGTTTATTGTTCTATTTTTTTCTTCACTTCTAAAATACTCACTTTTATCAGTTGTTCATTTAACTCAGCATTTAATAGAAGAGCAGAATCTACAGGACCAAATGTTCTTCGTGACATTTAGTAAGGACAAAAGAGCATAACAACGGATAACAAAAGTTTAATTATCACAGCAATGACATGTTGAGATGTACCATAAGTCAATATCCTCGTTATTTTAAAGAGAGCTTGGGAATTAAATGCTGGGAAATTAGTATAATTAAAAGTATTTCGTTTTAATCAGTAGCATTTGAACTTCTTGTGCATACTATTTTTAACAGCACTAAATGCAGGGATTAAAGAATTGCAGTTTAGTTTCAGAATGTGGCTATAAGGTGGACAGCTAACTCTGGCGATTTAGAAATTCATATTTTTAAAATTCGAACCAGGACAAGGTTGCGATTTATATCGCCACAATCCACCAATATCGCAGGATTTCTCGAAGCATACCACTTGTAAGCCATTTTCAAGACATGTTTTTGTGGCGGTCAGACCACTTGCTCCGGCACCTATCACACAAATTTTGGCAGGCATCTGTAGTTTCAGTTGAAAGGTTCAATGACTTTCACCAAATATTAAATTCAATTTATGAGATGAAAGGATCTGAATAGCCAAATTTCAGTTTGCACTTCGTTAAAATTATTACACAAAAAAAAGTAAATTGAGAAATAAAAGACGAAATATTGTTTGAATCATTGCTACTTATGTAGTAAAGTCACCATAGAGGTCATCTTAAGATCACAACTATTATTTGTGAAAAAATTATTGTATTGAGCTGTTATAATGAAATTGCCTCTTGTTACACATTTGTTATTCATGGCGCATTCCGATGTGCACGTTTAGCATCACTTCGAATTTTTTAAAAATGTGATAAAGCTAACCAACAAATTATCTCATATTACTAGTAAAATTGACTAAAACAACAAACTTAGTACAAACATAGAAAAAAGGGAAACAAATAATTTGCTGATTTGTTAAATTTTATTTATTTGTTTATAAATTGCACAGAAATTTCCGAATATCAATATTATGAAATACATTGAAAGAAATATTATTGTTATTAAAAGACATTCAAAAAAAACACATTTAAGCTTAAAACATATATATATATATATATATGTATATATATATATATATATATATATATATATATATATATATATATATATATATATATATATATATATATATATATA